TGTTTTGTGGCTTGCTGGTCTGTCTGGGTATTTGAAAAGAAAAGAAAGTGCAATTGAATATGGTGTTAGTCTGTGTTGTTCTTCGGGAATGCCTGAGGCAGGCTGTCTTTGTGAATACAGGAGGTTAACTGAGTTGGCAGTCTTGAGGTTGAAAGTCCAAGTGGCATGGTGCAGCCTGAGCCAAGGGCCCAGGGTGACCGCAGCCCGTTGTGCCGCAATCTTTTCTGTCTTTGTCTCTTGTAAAATCACCAATTCAGTCATGACCTTCTCTAATGTGTCCTTTTCTGAAGTCCCCTGGCTCTTAACACTGCTCTGAACACCAAGGTCACATTCAATCTCAGGAGTTTGGTTGGGGATAGAGGACCGACCGACCCATGTTTAAACCTTAGCAGTGTGTTGTTTAGGTCACATGGTGCTGGTGGGATCTTGACTATTGGAGGTTTTGCAGGTTTAAGTTGTAACAGTTTCTGACCAGGTGTGGTGGTACATGCCTGTAGTCTTAGCACTTGGGAAGCTGAGGCAGGAGATTTGCCTTGATTTTGAGGCCAGTCTGGGCTCCATGGAGCTCAAGGCGGGTCTGAAGTACGTAGCAAGACCCTGCAAATAACTAACTAAATGTATAGTTGTAACAGTTGCTAAGAGAAGGTGTTAAATCTCTAACCATATGTTTCTGTACTAACTCAGCTTTTGTCTTGTGTGTTTGGAAATTATGGATTTAGGCACATAAACATTTGTATTATAAATTTCCAGTGAATTGACCTCTTCATTGTTACGTTTCTCTTTCCCTTGGGAGTGTCCTGTGTCCTGAACACTGCTGAGGCCATGCAGTCTGCGCTTACTGTTAGCATCCTTTGCTGTTTACTTTGAGCCTCCCTAATGTCTGTACACCTGTGTAGGGCAAGCATGGAATCTTACTTTCACCCATTCTGAGAATGTCTGCCTCATGGTCTATTTTGTCTATTCATATTAAATAATGATTGCTGTAGTTGGGCTTAGGTCTGCATCATTATGTTTTTCCTCGCATTGTCTGTTTTTCTTATTTACCTGGCTTCCTTTGAGTTGCTGTTTTTCATTTCTTAGTTTCCTGCCTTTCTTTGAGTTATTATTCTGTGTAGAACTCCATGTTCTCTGGTAGCTTTTAACAATACTAAATTTTTAAAAAGTAGCTCTGTAGAGATTTCTGTTTTTGTTTTCTGTGTTACGATGTGTGCATATGTATGTAGTAACATTATCTTCATATGAAATATAAAGGCCTTGTACCTATGTGAGTCTGCTTTTATACCTTACGCAGTAGTTGTCACGCATATTATGCCCTTTATACAGTAGAACTTTCCCTTAGTGATAGTGTGGTAACTTGTGCACTTGTGAGTGGGATGTGGTGGCGCTTTCCAGTGTCCCGGGTACTGGAAAGGCTGAGGTAGGCAGGTACAAGACCAGCCCAAGCAACTTGGTGAGACCCTGTCTCAATGTAAAAAATAAAGCTAGGAATGGCTAGGAATGTAGCTTAGTAGTAGAGCACCTCTGGATTCAATCTTCAAAACCAAAACAGAAGGCATGTGTAATTTAAAGAAATGAAAAGGAAAGGAACATATTTTATATTCACTCGTGCATTTTCCATTTCTGCCTGTCTCTGTCCCTTTCAGATAGTTTCTACCTGGAATCATTTCCTTTCTCCTGAAGAAGGATCATTAGCTTTCCTAATAGTTCAGGTCTTTTGGGAACAAACTCTTCTTTTCTCTGATGAGCAGGTATCTGTATGTGTTTCTTTATTCTGAGAGGCTGTGTTCCGGAGATGTGTGGGATTCTGGTTTCTTTTCTGTTCAGCACTTTAAAGAAGCTATGTGTCTCGGCCTCCACTGCCTCCTCTGTGCAAATGGGCTGCCAGTCACTCGTCGCTGATTCTTTGTGTGTAACGTATTGTCTTCACCTGACTCAAGATTTTCTCAGGTTGGGCATGGTGGCACACCCCTGTAATTAGCGCTTTGGAGGCTGGGGCAGACCGAGGACATGTTGGGCTACTTATCCAACCCTGTCTCAAAAAAGAAAAATGATTTTTTGCCCCTCTCAACTTGGTTTGAGTGTACTGTCATATGGCTTGGGATGTTTTTCTTTGTCCTTTTCTTATTTAGAATTCACTACACTTGTAAATCAGTGTCTTTAATAAAATTTGGAAAGCTCTTGGTCATTACTTCTTTTTTATTTTATTTTATTTTTATATTTTAGGAAAGGTTCTACAGAGTGTTCAGAGTCTCACTACTAGATTAGATTCATAGTGATACGCCCGTTTACGGCCTCCCAAGTGTTGGGTTTACAGGCATGCGCCACCACGCCCAGTCTCAATTGCTGTCTCAGTGCACCGGCATAGCAGGCCTAGGGATTGAACCCCTGGCCCCTGTGCCTGCTTGTAGGTGCTTTAATCTGCTGAACTATTTATTGGCCATTATTTCTTAAAGTATTTTTTCTGCCCCATTTGCAGTCTCTGTTGGGATATCAGCTATATGTATATAATATATATATATATATATATCCCCTCCCCAGCATTTTCGTAAGGCTGTGTTCTTGTGTTATTATTTTCATATAGTTATCTGTTCTTCAGATTGGGTACTTTTTTTTTTTTTTTTTTTTGTGGCCACCTCAGTCCACTCTGGGGGCAGGGCTGGTGCTGCATGTGGTGCCAGGGATTGAACCATGATCCCTGCATCCCTGTGTGCTTGCCTAAACAGGTGCTCTATACCACTGAGCTATCTCACCAGCCCTTCAATTGGTCTTTTTTTTTTTTTTTTTTTTTTGAGGAACCAAGGATTGAACTCAGGCCCTTGGCTTGCTAGGCAAGCACTTCTGTGGAGCCATCTTCCAGGCCCACCCTTCAGATTAGGTAATTTCTGTTGCTCTGTACATATTGACTGTCATCTCCAATTTTCAGGTGAGGGTTTTTTCTTTTTTAAAAAAGTTTCACTTCTAGAATTTCTCTGATTCTTTTTGTTTGTAGTGGCTATTTCTTTTTTTTTTTCCTTTTTGCGGAACCAAGGATTGAACTCAGGCCCTTGCGCTTGCCAGGGAAGCGCTTGTTCTACTGAGCCATCTCCCCGGCCCTTGTAGTGGCTATTTCTATACAGTAGAGATTTCCTATGTGTTGACTTATTACAAAAACATTTTTCCTTTCCATCCTGGAACATAGTTGTAACAGCTCTTGCTATGGTCTTTATATACTAAACCCACATTTGTGTACCCCCTCAGGCCACGTTATTTGCAGTCCTCTCCCTTCTTCATCTGAAACTCCCAGGTGTTGCTGGTCGTACTTGGGGCAAACAAGGTAGTGGGTGCTTGATAACATACATTCCCTGCCATGTGCTTATAAACTAAACTAAGAGGGAAGAATTTCAGACTCCTTGGAATGTTATGGTTTGTGTCCCCCAAACCACATGTACTCATGGGCCCAGGGCTTCTCAGAGGCAGCGAGTGTAGAGTTTGTGCTGGGTTCATGGCTAGTGACTGGGGGTGTGAGTTCTACAGCTACAGTAGCCTGCATACAGTATGAGGGAAGGAAAGAGGCTTATACTGCGCTTGTGCTTTTTGCTGTCTTCTGCTGCCTTCAGTGGCTGCCCCTCTGCCACATTCCACCCTGCCTCAGAGGTGGCTCATTACAGGCTGAAACCTTCATAAACTGTGAAATGAATAAACCTTTCCTTCCTTAACTTTGGGTGCTGGGTATTTTGTCCCAGCGGTGAGAGAAAAGGTAACCAAGACACTTAGATATGTACTAAGCTGTATCACTAACTTCCAACAAGTTGGAAATTTCAGTGTAATCATCCTTTAAAAAAGATAGCCATGTGTGGTGGCATACCCTCACTGTCCCAGCACTCAGGAGACTGAGGCAGGAGGATTGTAAATTTGAGCCCAGCCTGTGCAAAGTGAGGGCATATATCTCAGTGTAAAGCCCTTGGGTTCAATCCCAGTACTGCAAAAGAAACAAAAAGCCATAACCTGTTGACCTGGTGATAATCTGGCTCTTCCCCCAGTACATTCTGAAGGCTCATTTTAACATTTTTATTCTATATCACAGCAGTTTCGGACTGTTTTGTGCAGAGAAATAGGGGCTTGCAGTGCCTTTCTAAAGAAAATTGCAGCAGATTTGAATCATCAGAACTGGGTTCAATCCCCAACACCTTAAAAAAAAAGAAACTATAAACTTTACATAAACTTCAGAAAGATTGAAGTCAGTGAGAGGGAAGGAACATCCAATAACTTCAGCTTGAGAGCATAGTCGTTCTTTGCCAGACTTTGGTCGATCTTGCAGTAGACATGCAGCTGTCCTGAGAGGCACCCGTGAAGCGAGTCGTCGGGGAACCCCGTTGGAGGGTGAACGGGCAGCTGTCTAGCAGCCCCACACAGGGGGTAAATTTAACATGGGAACCCCTTTACTCTCCTCTGTCTTGCCAGCAAAATACATACATCTTGACTTTTTTTCAATTAGATATGAAGAAGCTGAAGTTCGGAAAAAGCTGGAGGAGAAAGACAGACAGGAAGAACAGCTACAGCAGCAGAGGCGGCAGGAAGCTGGAAGAGAGGAGGGTAGCACAACGGCCAGAGGCGCTCCAGTGAATGTATTGGACTCCCAGGACAGGCCACAAAGGGTATTGCACATTTCTGTGTAAAGTCAAAGTCTGCTTCTGTTGGTCAGGTGATGTGCACGTGAGGCGTTGAGATACCTCTGTGCAGTTCTTTTTGGCCACCAGGCTCAAATTTAAGGTGTTTTCCTTAGAAGTTAAATACCCCAGCTTCAGTTGGTGCTGGGGGATTTTTATGCGCTTCCTCAGCAGTACACTCTGTCCATTCATTACATACTTAGCTGTCAGGAACTTGATCAGAGTAAGGATTTGGGCTGCAATTCCGTATGTCCTGGCTCAGGCGCGTCTTGCTGATCTCAGTGGAACCAGGTTCCTTGCTTTGTGAGCGAAGGTCTCGAAGGGGGTGATCTTGAAGGTTCTTCTGTCTGACACTGAAGTTTGTGTTAGAAGATTGGCTCGACACACTGCTCACCTGGTGCCGCCTGCCTGCCTGTGCGTTCCTGCAGGCGGGTTTACACCCCTGCCTTCATCCTGCTGTCCCCGTCCTTCCCCACACACACACACTTTCTGTTTCCGCTTTGTCCAGCTGCTCCTTTAAGGCTTCACTCCTGAGGCTGCCGGGGACTCAGTCTGTACCTGTCATTAGTCACTACCTACCTTTCCTTGCTCCTTAAAAACTGGTCTGCAAAAAAAAACAAAACAAAACAATTTTGTTAGCCCTGTTGAAATCCTTGGAAATTCTTCTACTTTGATTCTTATCTCCCTCTTAGGCATTTTACAGTTTCCAGTTTTCTTTTTATTTCTCTTCTTTCTTTTTTTTTTCTTTGTCGATCACTAGTTTCATTAAGAAGTAATGACATTGTTTTAGGCACTATGTAGAAGCAAGTGACAGAATCTGGTCTTCAGGAGCTTGTCATGTGCAATAAATGGCACTGCTGCAAGGTGTTTGTACGTCAGGTAGCTGCGCTACCCAAATAACAAGACTGGGGAGAAACTGTGAAGGGACTTTCTGTTGAGGGAACTTTATTAACTCTTTTATTTTGTTGCCTTTCCAAGAGTAGATGGTCACTTTTTGTTCTTTTTACTTTTTGTCTTTTTATTTTGGAAAGAGAATACTATTTAGCCCTATCAAACTTTATTAATCAACTGACATTTTGCCACACTTTTAAATCTGTCTCCTGCTCTTTCCTTTGCTCAGGTATTTCACAGCGTATTCTAGTTCATGTACCATTTTATTCCTCAATATTTCAGTATACCTCTCACAAAATAGCACTTTGTTAATAACCATAGTCTTTTCTTACCTACAAATTGACAGTAATTGTGTAAGATAATCTAATGATCTGCATATTTTTTAACATAGGTACTTGTTTTAAGTGATTTTTTTCCTGAATTGATTTGTTTGAATCAGGAGCTAGACCAGAGAGACAGTCTTTGCTTGGTCTGTCCCCAAGTGTCTAAAACAGTGGTGAGCCTTGGCACACGTGCCACACATGGCTGTTTTGTTACCCCTGAAAACTAAAAACTTCGCCATCCCTGCCCTAGCATAATCTCCATTGGAGAGTCTCCTTCCTCTCAGTTTTCTTTTTTTAAGAGACGTGAGAAGAATTTATTAGAGGTGGGTGTAGGACATACTGAAGAATGGACTGCGGGTCCTCGGAAAAATGAGGTACTCCTCTCGGTTTTTATTTCGTGGCCTGGACTTTCTAGTTCTGGAACATGAGCCACATTCTTTGTCTCCATGGTTGCTGCCTCTTGTGTCACGTGACTTGGCTTTCCAGTTCCCGTGTTTCTTTTATTTTGCAGAGTGAGTTTCAAGTTTTACTTTATGGCAAGAATGCTGCTCAGATAATATTGTGTGGCTCATGTTGTGTTCTGTATGAAGGTACATAGATGCACCTTTATGTTAGGTTCTTATTTTTAGTTGTGCTAAAATTGATTCTTAGATCCAGGTGAGTCCATGCTTTTCCATCTATGAGTATTTTACAAGATTATCCTGGGTTATCTAAATTAATGCAATATTTTGGAAACATTTCCTTTAATTATGTAATAGAGGACACAGAATGCACAGCTACAATATTTGTTTCATTGTAAGAAATGTTTTCTAATTAAACACTAAATTTCTATAGCAGTATGTGCTTTTAAATTGTATTTGGCCTTTAAAGAAAATTGTGAAGAAATGTCCTATAATTCGGATGTGCTGCTTGTCATTTTAGCTGTGGTCTACACTCAGGTCACTTGGTAGTGCATTGTTCATCAATGTTTTTATAAAATGTCATTCAGCATACTTCTTTTGTTAGGTTTTCTCCTTCACTGATGTTAAAGTTCAACTTTTTGTTTCTGTGAAAGTTGAAACTTTTTTTTCCCCTATGAACTAGATCAATGGTGAAAAGAGTGAAAAAAAAGAAACTGCAGAGAAAGGTAAGTTTGTTCTCTTTTTAAATTCACACTGAGGATTTCTTTTAATCAGAGTAATTTCACATTGTGTACAGTGAGATTCTTAGCATTGTGTCCAGACTCTGTATCAAAGTTTTATGATTTTTTTTAGTCTACCTGTACCACTATATTGAAAATGCCTTCAATTCTGTGTCTACTGACTGTGGGGAATATTTATCAGTAGTTTTAGCCTGACGCGTTGAAGTAGAGGAGTATGCATTTGAAAAGCATTGAAACCATCATTTGTACTTGTTTTCTTTTCCAGATGCAGTTTAGTTAGTGTAGTGGCTTAGATATGAACTTTCAGAAGTCACATTGCCTGGCTTTGAAAACCGGCCCCTCCTCTGAATTCAGTGTGATTTTGAACACACTACTTAACCTCTATACCTCAGTTTTTCCATCTGTAAAGTGAGGCCAATAATAAAACCTATTTTTCTTGGGGTTATTGTAAAGATTGGACTAGTTGCTATATGTAAAATTCTTAGAACCCATTGTAAACTAAGTATTAGCTATGGTTACTATTTATGACTATAGTTTGGAGAGTTAATCGTGATTATTGCTGTTTGCTGGGAAAACAATCTAAACAGTTCGGATGTTATCTGTAGGTGATGTAGTCACAAATACATGACCCAAACAAGACTTAGGAAATCATTTTCATCTACTAGAAGCTTTCTTGTCTCAGCAAAGGTTTATCTTAAGCATAATTATATGTAACACAGGAATAAATTCTGTAATGACAATATTGCTGTAGAACAATTTTTTAAAGAACAGAGTTAAGTGCCCTCTCAGCTTTGCTGGGCTGTCCCAGGGCTACTTTTCATCTTCTCACTTTCCTGGGTCTCCTGCTTGGATGTTCCCTTTTTTGGAGCTGGGCCTATTTCACCTCCTGATGGTGGACTGGGGTCTGTTAGCAGCTGGAGGTGTTGTGCCCGCAGGCTTGAGTCTGTACCCTTCTGGCAGTAAGAGGCTCCAGCTCTTCTGCCCACTGTGGTCTTCACCGCAGGTGGGAGCTGGGGAAACAGCAGCATGGGACCTTCTTTCATCAGGGTCCTCTGCCCAGCTCAGTATCAGGTAATTTAAGTAGCTTCCCTTGGCTTCTTTCTTGTTGGTCTTCTTAGAGAACTGGGAGCCACCCCTTGAGCATGAGTAGAGTGAGGCTCAGCAGGCTTTTTCTTCGCGGCCAGGTAGTAGTGTGTTGAGCTTGACAGCCCCATGCCAGGCGGGCACTGTGAACTGCCACTGCCCAGAGCACCCCAGGCAGCACAGGGTCCAGGGAAACCAGTGTCATCCTGGATAGAGAAGGGCCACTCACACATTTCTGAGCCATAGACATATTTTCTGATGAATAGCCTTGAATTTTCCACTGTCTTGAGTTTTAAAAATAGTGTTTTCATAAGATACACAAAGCCACCACCAGATGTAGCCTCAAGAGCTCATTTTGATTTTCCTTTGTATTTCCCTTTGGTGTGTCGCTGGGCGTCATGCCCATGGCCCAAGCCCACGTGTTGACACCTGACACTGTAAGAGCTCAGCTCTGGCTCCTCTGTGCTGCTGTAAAGATTAACACACATTACACCTGATGTTGGTTGAAGAACTAATGAGTGATAGGGTGAGAGAGCACTGTGACGCTGCGTGTGCTTTGCTGTGCTACAAGAAGCTGTGTTGGTCTCATGTACTGATGTGCTGACGCCTGGAGCTGGTGTATCTTGTCACTTACACTGTCTTTTGATTCCAAGGTGTGATCACAGCAAAGGAACTGTATGCAATGATGACGGATAAAAGTGTCAGCTTGCTGATAATGGATGCGCGAAGAATGCAGGATTACCGGGATTCCTGTATTGTGGATTCTCTCTGTGTTCCTGAAGAAGCCATCAGTCCGGGGTGGGTCATTGAGTATTTAGATAATATGGGAAGCTGCACAATATTAAGTGCTGCTCCCTGGCATACAGGCTGATAGAGGAGGTAGTTGGGTGTTTTCCTGTTGTTCCTTCATTGTTTGCTCTGTCCTGACACACCTTATCCTTTTGGTGAGCAGTGTGAGAAATGTCCCACTAGCTGTATCCTCCTGGCTGTAGCATTTGGAGTCGTATTAGAAATGAAGCACAGCTGCCTTTATGTGCCCTCACCCGACTGCCGTTGTTTTCTGTGCCTCTGGATCATACTACCAAATTGTGAACTAATCAGAGCATTTCACAGGTAGAAATTCCCCAAAGTATTATGATAGGATGTACAAATACTTTCTAAAAAAAAGTATAGCTAAGTGATTAAAAAGAATATAGTCTATGTATCAGGTTATCTCAAACAACTGTCATTTATTATTTTTAGCTAGTGACTAAACCTCTGAGTCTGTTTCCATCTGAAAAATGGGAATTATACTATACCAACTGCCTCAAATGTTTCAATAAGTTTAAGTGAAACTGTGCATTCTCTCTCTCGCTCTCTCTCTCTCTCTGTCTTTGTCTCTGTTTCTCTTCTCCTCCCCCCTCTCTCTCCTCCTCTCCTCTCCTCTCCTCTCTCTACACAGTGCCAGGCATTAGTAAGAGCTTACCAAAGACAAATTCTTGTTAGAAGAAAGGTCTTAAAACAGGGTAGCAATGTAACATTACTGCCATGTGCATGTTGTAGACTAGAAATCCTTGTGTCATAGTAGCACAGCTGAACTTGAACTTGTAGACCCAAGGTTGTTTCCACTGTTTTTAGTATTTTAAAATCCTATGACTCTGATCTTAATTTATGGGATTGTAATCTCTGTGGTAGCCATGTGAATTTTCACCTGCCTTGTAACTCTAGATACTCATGAGGCAAAGGCAAGAGGATTGTAAGTCTGAGGCGAGCCTGAGAACTCATTTTAGAAGTCAAAACTGAAGAGGGAGGAGGATAGAGTTCAGTGGTAGAGCACCCAGTTAGCATATGCCAGGCCACACTTCAGTCCCTAGTACAGAAGAAATAGAAACTGTTCTAGGGTTTACCAACAGCATTAAAACATGTATTTTTAAGAGCTAGATAAATTTTATATAGTTTTCAGCATCCTACAGACCTTTGGTGACTAGCTGACCCAGGAATAGCATGCTTGAACTGAAGGTTGAGTGTTTACTGGAACAGGTCTGAATGCATCCCCAGGATCTGAAAGGCCAAGGTGTACAGCCTTTGCATGATCTGTCCCAGCAGAAAGCTGGTGGTCTCTCAGGAATTTGCAGTTAGGATTACTGTGAATCTCAGAATGATTTTAGGTTGAAGATTAAAGAGAAATGAGAAAATTATTCCCTTGTAATTTTTGTTTCAGTCTTGAATTGGCTAAAAGCAGTTTCAAGTTGAGCTGCTGCATCTTCTGTCCTACCCTCCCTTTCCTACGAACAGGCCTCGCAGGCCATGCGGTCCCAGCTGTAAGGACAGAAAGCACTCCTGTCTTGTACGTGTGGCCAGAGGCACAGGCCTCCGGACCAGGATGCAGCACTGCCACTCAGTTACAGCTCGCTTCCCCACCTACCCAAAAACCGCCAGTTGTTTTTCCGTTAAGGATGCAAAGTGGCTTTATTTTTCTATCCTAGGAACAAGCAGCACCGTTTCATAAAACAGAATGAACGTCCTGAAGGGCTGAGCATGAAATACCCATTCTGCTTCCTGGCCTGGGCCCTCACGGCCTGCCCTCTGCGCAGCTGGCTGCCTGTGTCTCAACTGGGGCTCCTCAGAGGCACCCCGCGGTGGGGCGGGGCTGCATTTCCTGTCCTTGCTGGGTGGTCTCCCGCTCTGTGCACACAGCGGGTCAGCTTCTTCTTAGATTTACCTTTTATTTACTTGCTGTGATGCTGTTTTCCATAGATACAGGAACATACAGTTTATTATTAAAATAAGTTTATTTAAAATAGAAGATGATTTTAAATTGTTATTAAGTTAATGGTTAAATCACATTTAAATATTGAATTGCGGTACAAGTAAAGCAGAGTCAGGGCAAACTGAAGATGGCTCGTGAAGGACCTACATTTGGGGAGCACTGGTGACGCAGTGGTTTCCCAAAGTGCCTGCTTGTGTTCTGTAGAATGTTAGTCCTGAGAACAGTATTAGGCACGTATATGCCTGGAGTTGGAAATGGTTCTTATGAATATCACATTTCATTTTTCTTGTTCTTTATAGACCAAGCATCTGCTCTCTTCACTGTCAGGAGAGGAAATATGTCTGGCTATGTATTTATTAGTCCTGAGGTGGACCTCAGATTGACACATACCAGGCAAACATTCTACCACTGAGCCTCATCCCCAAGCCTAGGAGACATTTTTCTCTTTCTCTCTTTCTCTCTTTCTCTCTTTCTCTCTCTCTCTCTCTCTCTCTCTCTCTCTCTCTCTCTCTCTCTGTCTCTGTCTCTCTGTCTCTGTCTGTCTGTCTGTCTGTCTCTCTCTCTCTCTCTCTCTCAGACAGGTTCTCCCTGAGTAGCGCAGACTGGCGTCCAACTTATAACAGTCCTCCTGCCTTAGCCTCCCAGGTGCTGGGATTACAGGCATGTACTACCACTTCTGTCCCTCTTTATTTCCTGGAAGATACAGTAACCAACATTATTACTTAAGAATGGGATTTTTGCCAGGGAGATGGCTTAGTGGAATAAGTACTTGCCTGGCAAGCGCAAGGGCCTGAGTTCAATCCCTGGTTC